TCCTGTAGCTCAGCAAACGTGGAAGAGGCGAAAGAAACAGCGCGGGCGGGCGAGGGCTTCAGGAGCGCCGGCGCGAGGAGCGGAAACAAATAACATGTCGAATGACTTTTAGGCAACTTTAGTCGCCAATACAGCGTCCAAGTGGTGCTGTTTGCTCTATGCAGGCGCGGCTGCATAGGCTGCTGCTTTACTTGCGCCTGTGCGGGATATACTAAACCGCTTGTGGCAGCCTTGGGCTGGTGCTGTAGCCACGGGCAGAGGCAGAATATGTCTTGAGCCTCCAGAACTATGGCTAGCTGCACCAGCTCCCTGGCTAGCCGTAGCACATGTCTACCTTGCTTCAGCAGCCTGATGGCTACCTGGAGTATCTGCACTTTTGGCTTTGTCCTTCTAAAGGGTGAGGAAGTGCTTCTCTGGCCCGTCGAGCCCCCAAAGTCACGGGGGGGGGGGTAACGTCTGTGGCCCCCCGGTTGTCAACAATAGACAGCAAGGCTTCTGAAAGAGTTGTAGACCCCAGCTGAGCTAAGCAACACAGGAGCTACGTAGGCGACTACCTTACACTACACTGCAGCCCTCTAGCGGTCAGCCGTCAGTGTATTACTAAGGCCATACTGAAAAGGCCGATGGATGTGCAACAGGGATACTATTTCGTGACTTATACACGCAGTCAAACACTACTGACTACTGCGCCTCAGCGCGAAAAGAAGAAATTGATGGTCACAAACCCGAAATTCCGACTTCCCACCTAGGCGAAACAGCGGGATTGGCCCCGTGGGCTGCCGCCCCCTTGCTTGCGTAATCATTCCTCTGGGACCGTTGTTAGGCCCCTGCACACTTGAATGTTTCAGCCGTGATACGCATGCCTAACCATGAACTGACACCAGGCTGGTATAGCACTCCTTGGAGCAGCNTGTTTCAGCCGTGATACGCATGCCTAACCATGAACTGACACCAGGCTGGTATAGCACTCCTTGGAGCAGCTATAGCAAGAGCTACAGTTCCGTGCTTGGCACGTCTAAGGCAAAGCAGTGCGCGCCACACTACGGTGGAAAATTCGGATATTTTAGTTGACTTCAAGCAGGATAAAAAACTCTGCGCATCGGCTGGTGCGTCGTTCCGCGGCCTTTGACAGAAGTTCGCCCGTCGCAGCTGAAATGTTCCCCGTCTATCTGAATATTTTCTCGCGGTAGTAGGCGAGTTCCTGAATGCTTTCTTTGATGTCATCGAGCGCCCTATGCGTGTACTGCTTCTTCGGGGGTGCCACGGCGGGGAACCAGCTTCGCGCGATGACCTTGATGCTTGAAACATCTAAGATGCGGTAGTGCAGAAAATCTAAAAGTTCGGGCATTTCCTTTCTCAAGAACTCCTTGTCCATGTGAATTGAATTCCCTGCAAGAACCGCCTCTTTAGCGCACACGCCGTTCCGTATCAAGAAAGCTATGATCTGCTGTTCTGCATCGCGAGCACTCATCGACGCCCGTATACAGGCCTCTGTCAGTCCAGATTTCCCGTGCTGCTCGCGACACCATGATCCCATTTCCTCAAGTTCTCGCTTCGGGCAGTGCAGCACAAAGCTGGGCCCCTCCTCCATGTGCTTCAGCTCCCCGTCTGTCAGAATGCATGCAACCTCCAAAATCCTGTCTTTCAGGGGGTCGAGCCCAGTCATCTCGCAGTCCAGCCACAAAAGGGGCTGCTCAAACAGACGAACCATCACGGCGACGAGCGGATGAATAGGAAAGCAAAGCCGAAACGGTTCTTGCTGCTGCAGGAAACGAGAAAAGTAATGCGCTTCTCCCCAAAGAGGAAGNAGCAAAGCCGAAACGGTTCTTGCTGCTGCAGGAAACGAGAAAAGTAATGCGCTTCTCCCCAAAGAGGAAGAAACAGGAAATGAGAGAAGAAGTAAGGCGCTTCTCCCCAACGATCGTCACTCCGCTTGCAGGTACAACAACACGCACAGGCGTATGCTTTTTGTTGTATCTGGCTAGCTGCTTCACTGGCTAGCAGCGTCAGCCGATGCAAGGGGTTGTTGTCTATACACGCATACGCACGAGGAGATACAACGCGACTCAGACTGCGTGCGTGTAAGCCCACGTGCCTATGATCTTTGGGCCTTGATACCGAAACGAGGATATATACAGTGACGGAGAGGCCTTGAGGAATGCTGAGGCACCTCTGGGTGCTTAGCGTCCTGTTTTCCCACCTCTTTTCCCCTTGTTCACGTTTCTACGTCACTGCGTCTCCAGGCTTTTGCAACAGTTGTTGAATTCAACGATAAAATGAACGGCGTCCTGCCGGATGGAGAGCGAAACTCCACAAACACCCAACCCCGGCTCTCCTTCTCTCGCTAGACGGCGTGTGGGCAGCGAACAACACACGTGAAATTTGTATTCTCAGGGATCCGCAGAAACCAAAGGCGAATGTGTACTCGCTGAATTATGGTTGTGTTTGGTACTCAAGGCAGCTGCGCAGCCGCAGTGACCGGTGTTATGTTGCCGCTGGAATGAGATGTTCTCAACAGATGTTCTGCTTCTGTTGTATTGAGATGTCTTGCAACGACGAAGACTCCTCACTGCCTCAGAGCCTGTGGAGCGGGGGCCTCAACCCCTGTGCAGAAACACCGACACCCTCCTGCATTCATTGCCCCTCACCTCGCCAGCGCCGAACGGAGCAGGAACCCCGAAAACACACAGATGTGTAGATATAAAATAAATTAATACTTGTCAACACTTCACTTATTCAATTATAACCCGCCATCCACCCACACATCCAAGAACACCAGGAGCACACACGGTGGACGTCCCGTAACACGGGCGGGGGGAGGGGGGGGGCACACTGCGGAGGCCCAGGTCTTCTGCCTGCAGCTCGTGAGGCCTTTTGCTTGTAGCATGCTGTATCCTTAGTGTACTCAATTAATTATTTATATCTTAATTCGTAGCTTTAAACTCATTTCTTTGCGGAGGTTTTACTTAATAGTGTCGCCCTGCACAGCCGAAAACCTCGCTACGTGAGGGGTGGTCGGCTCACTCCCAGAGCATCTTCGTCGAGTAAACTCTTATTTTGGTACAAAGTCTCTCTCAGGCAGGTGCATGCCTCCATGTTTGTGAGTTTTGTATACTGAAAACCCAATACACCTGTATGGACAGTTGACTAGCGTGGCCGAGCGCCTAGCAGGCTGCGGCGTTGTAGCGAGGGTCCTCGATCTTCGCTGAGGAAAGCTGTGGGCTGCAGTGAAGACGAAGACTTGTATCAGTAGTTCGTGTACAGCAGCTCACAGCCTCTTCTCCAGTTTCCAGGGGTCTTGGGCGCTGCTGCGCAAGGACCTCAAACCCAAACCCTAAACCCTAAACTCTAAACTCCTTTTGCAAGGCAAACCCACGTACAAGCCTAGCCAGGCCCTCATTGCTGCCTGCACTAACACTGTATAGTATCGTCGAACACACTAGGAGGCCCCCAATAGACAGGCTGCACGCAAATAGAACTGAATATATAATGCAACTTCACATAGACTGTGCTACAAGCTTCGCCTCCACATGGCGTTTCCTGCGCGGGAGGTATATCAGAAGGTACAGGAAAGCAGGGGGGGGCAGTCTCTTCTTCCTGCCTGCTTACGCTCCTGCAGTATCCACCACTCAGCGGGCGTTTCCTTCACAGGGAAGCTGAGGCCCGTGCAAGGTGGGGGAGCCGATGCCATATGAATATATATGGTTATAGATTATTATTATATTGTCAACAAGTCCTCTAGAATAGCGGGAAAAACTAGCGGTAGAAAACACGGAAACTCTATCGCACGCATATTCTCATCTCCCCTGCAACCTACAAACCGGCT